CGTCGGGGAGAAAAAGCACAATTCGTCGGGGAGGAAAAATATTATATGTATTTTTTACGTATTAGTAGACTCTAAAATCGATTAAATGAGTCTTTAAAACCCCTAATTAATCGAAAGTTTCGGGGCCACTTTCGGTACCTTTTAATCGAAGCTCGACCACGCTCACTTTGCATTCGTCAGAGAAATCTGACACCTCGTCGGGGGGACCCACCCCTGAATACGACTAACAGAAATAGGGAAAATAGCATATTAAACGTAATAGGGAACATCCGACTGACCAATAGACATAGAGAAGTTTGGAGATAATTTACAAAAACTATATTCTGATATCAATTTACACTTTCAGACTTGATAACCAAATCCAGGCAGCATGGTGATGCGTTAAGGCCTGTTTATATTTTGAAAATAACAGTCAACAATAAAAAAAAAAAAAAAGCAATTATTCGCATTAAAAAAAAAATATTGTGTATACAATAAAAAAAATATTTTCATAAATCAAGTCAAATTCCTAATAATAATAATAATAATAATAATAATGATAATAATAATAATAATAATAATAATGAAAAAACGATAAAATATAAAAATATTTTTTATCGTTAATCGTTATCGTTTTAGTAGAACTAGGCATTTATTTACTCGAAAAAGTTTAGTACAACTGATGATTAACATCCATTTAAATTATTAGTGCCCCTTTTTATACCCCGGCGTTGCCTTTATCTAACCTAATTAGGACCATCCCTGTGCAATTTGGCCATGTTCAGACCATTTTTTAAATCTGACCTTTAACATTTATATCAAAAGTCACAACATTTTTTAAAAGCCGATCATTTTAAAAAAGATTTTCCTTTCATAACCTTTGACCTTTAACTTCAAAAAGATATTTACAATGTCACAGGGACTATCCCTGTCCAATTTTGGCTTGTTAAACCTTTTTAAAATCTGAACTTTAACCTCTATATAAAAAATTTTAAAATTTTAAAAATGCCACAACAATCATAAAATGTAAAATTTGTTTTTTAATATGACAATGTACATACATTTTCGACTTGGATACTACTATATATTGTACGTTGTTACATCAGTGGTTAAATTGTTGTTACAATAGTGGTTAATGATTTTTGTTACAACAGTGGTTAAATCGTTGTTACAATAGTGGTTAATGAATTATTACAACAGTGGTTGATTTTTGTTACAATAGTGGTTAATGTTACATTAGTGGTTGAGTTTTGTTACAGCAGTGGTTAATGTTACATTAGTGGTTGATTGTTACATTAGTAGGTAATACCACTATTATATTATGTAACGTTTCGTTTAAGATTGCGTGGCTAACTCTTTCGAAGGCCTTGCTCCAGTTCACACAATCAAATACACTATGCACAGTGCTATATTTTGTGTAATAATTTTCTGATATCTACCA